ATATTTATATATTATTATATATTATTACAATATTTATTTATATATTATTATAATATTTGTTTATATATTATTACAATATTTATTTATATATTATTATAATTATAATATTTATTTAAATATTATCATAATATTTATTTATATATAATTATAATATTTATATATTATTGTAATATTTATTTATATATTATTACTATATTTATTTATATATTATTACAATATTTATTTATATNATATTTATATATTATTGTAATATTTATATATTACAATATTTATTTATATATTATTGTAATATTTGTTTATATATTATTACAATATTTATTTATATATTATTATAATAATAATAATTATTTATATATTATTATAATATTTATTTATATATTATCGTAACATTTATTTATATATTATTATAATATTTATTTATATATAATTATAATATTTATTATCGTAATATTTATATATTATTACAATATTTATTTATATATTATTGTAATATTTATTTATATATTATTATATTTATTTATATATTATTATAATATTTATTTATATCCTGCTTTATCTCTCCCAAGGGAAACTCAAAGCAGAAATTATAATATATATTATATTATATTATATTATATTATATATATATATATATATATATTCCCAAAGAAGACTCAAAGCAGAAATAATAATAATAATAATAATAATAATAATAATATACCCCATTTTATCTCTCCCAAAGGAAACTCAAAGCAGGAATTATATATATATATATACACACACACACACATATATAATTTCTGCTTTTGAGTTTACTTTGGGAGAGAGAAAGTGGGATATATATGTAGAAATTATATATGTGTGTGTGTGTGTATATATATGTTACCCTGTTTTTTCTCTCTCAAAGAAGGCTCAAAGCAGCTTAACAAAAAAGCATTGTTGTATAATTTAAAGTATACGAAAATGCAAACATTAAAACAGGATTAAATATATAATAACCACAACAATAACAGCAATAACAACAACAACAACAACAACAACAAGTATTGATATCCTTTTCTGCCAAAGGAGACTCAATGTAAACATATAATAATAATAATAAAAATAAGGATAATAACAACGACAACAACTACAATAACAACAATAATAATCACCACCACCACAACAATAATAACAATCACAACAATAACAATCACAATATTATATAATTTAAAGTATATGAAAATGCAAACATTAAAACAGGATTAAATATAAACAGTATATATATTTTTTAAAAATTCCCAGTTCAGAACCATTGCAAAATATATTCAAAGTTAAGATAAATTAATAGCCAGGATCATTTAAAAAAATGGGCATCAGTCCATTGTTTACAAGCGTGCATTGATTCCCTTTTCCAATAGACCATCAATAATAATAACAATAATAATAATAATAATAATAATAATAATAATTATTATTATTATTAATCTTTAATTGGCATCCGTGCAAAACTGCAATTCAAATTTAGACTCGCTCGGTGGTCATTTGGGTTTGTTCCTAACTGCCACTGGTCTTGGGGAAACTGCAACTCCCAGGACCCCATAGGATTAAAGTGGGACCAAAGTGCATTAATTCTGTGGTGCGGATGCCTCCATTCATCTTCTTTTTCTTCTTGGTGGAAAGGTCGGAGCAAAGCCAATCAGGGCCGGATCCGTTCACGGCAAAGACGCTCAGGAAGAGCAAGCAGACCCACAAAGATCCCCGTGAGTAAGAACAGCAATAATAACCACCACCTCAACAATAATATCCACAACAATAACAGCAATAACAACAACAGTAACAACCACAACAACAACCACAACAATAATATCCACAACAACAACCACAACAATAATAACCACAACAATAGCAGCAATAACAACAATAACCACCACCTCAACAATAACAACCACAACAATAATAACAACAATAGCAGCAATAACAACTACAACAATAACAACAATAACAACCACAACAATAACAGCAATAATAACCACCACCTCAACAATAAAACCACAACAATAACAACCACAACAATAGCAGCAATAACAACAATAACCACCACCTCAACAATAACAACCACAACAATAACAGCAATAATAACCACCACCTCAACAATAACAACCACAACAATAACAACCACAACAATAGCAGCAATAACAACAATAACCACCACCTCAACAATAACAACCACAACAATAACAGCAATAATAACCACCACCTCAACAATAACAACCACAACAATAACAACCACAACAATAGCAGCAATAACAACAATAACCACCACCTCAACAATAACAACCACAACAATAACAGCAATAACAACAACAATAATAACCACCACCTCAACAATAACAACCACGACAATAACAACCACAACAATAGCAGCAATAACAACAATAACCACCACCTCAACAATAACAACCACAACAATAACAGCAATAATAACCACCACCTCAACAATAACAACCACAACAATAACAACCACAACAATAGCAGCAATAACAACAATAACCACCACCTCAACAATAACAACCACAACAATAACAGCAATAATAACCACCACCTCAACAATAACAACCACAACAATAACAACCACAACAATAGCAGCAATAACAACAATAACCACCACCTCAACAATAACAACCACAACAATAACAGCAATAACAACAACAATAATAACCACCACCTCAACAATAACAACCACGACAATAACAACCACAACAATAGCAGCAATAACAACAATAACCACCACCTCAACAATAACAACCACAACAATAACAGCAATAATAACCACCACCTCAACAATAACAACCACAACAATAACAACCACAACAATAGCAGCAATAACAACAATAACCACCACCTCAACAATAACAACCACAACAATAACAGCAATAACAACAACAATAATAACCACCACCTCAACAATAACAACCACGACAATAACAACCACAACAATAGCAGCAATAACAACAATAACCACCACCTCAACAATAACAACCACAACAATAACAGCAATAACAACAACAATAATAACCACCACCTCAACAATAACAACCACGACAATAATAACCACAACAATAGCAGCAATAACAACAATAACCACCACCTCAACAATAACAACCACAACAATAACAGCAATAATAACCACCACCTCAACAATAACAACCACAACAATAGCAGCAATAACAACAATAACCACCACCTCAACAATAACAACCACAACAATAACAGCAATAACAACAACAATAATAACCACCACCTCAACAATAACAACCACGACAATAATAACCACAACAATAGCAGCAATAACAACAATAACCACCACCTCAACAATAACAACCACGACAATAACAGCAATAACAACAACAATAATAACCACCACCTCAACAATAACAACCACGACAATAACAACCACAACAATAGCAGCAATAACAACAGTAACCACCACCTCAACAATAACAACCACAACAATAACAGCAATAACAACAACAATAATAACCACCACCTCAACAATAACAACCACGACAATAACAACCACAACAATAGCAGCAATAACAACAATAACCACCACCTCAACAATAACAACCACAACAATAACAGCAATAATAACCACCACCTCAACAATAACAACCACAACAATAACAACCACAACAATAGCAGCAATAACAACAATAACCACCACCTCAACAATAACAACCACAACAATAACAGCAATAATAACCACCACCTCAACAATAACAACCACGACAATAACAACCACAACAATAGCAGCAATAACAACAGTAACCACCACCTCAACAATAACAACCACAACAATAACAGCAATAACAACAACAATAATAACCACCACCTCAACAATAACAACCACGACAATAACAACCACAACAATAGCAGCAATAACAACAATAACCACCACCTCAACAATAACAACCACAACAATAACAGCAATAATAACCACCACCTCAACAATAACAACCACAACAATAACAACCACAACAATAGCAGCAATAACAACAATAACCACCACCTCAACAATAACAACCACAACAATAACAGCAATAATAACCACCACCTCAACAATAACAACCACAACAATAACAACCACAACAATAGCAGCAATAACAACAATAACCACCACCTCAACAATAACAACCACAACAATAACAGCAATAACAACAACAATAATAACCACCACCTCAACAATAACAACCACGACAATAATAACCACAACAATAGCAGCAATAACAACAATAACCACCACCTCAACAATAACAAACACAACAATAATAGCAATAATAACCACCACCTCAACAATAACAACCACAATAACAACCACAACAATAGCAGCAATAACAACAACAATAACCACCACAACAACAATAACAACCACAATAACAACCACAACAATAACAGCAATAACAACAACAATAACCACCACAACAACAATAACAACCACAACAATAATAACCACAACAATAGCAGCAATAACAACTACAACAATAACAACAATATCCACAACGATAACAACCACAACAATAATAGCAATAATAACCACCACCTCAACAATAACAACCACAACAATAGCAGCAATAACAACAACAATAACCACCACAACAACAATAACCACAACAATAACAGCAATAACAACAACAATAATAACCACCACAACAACAATAACAACCACAACAATAATAACCACAACAATAGCAGCAATAACAACTACAACAATAACAACAATATCCACAACAATAACAACCACAACAATAATAGCAATAATAACCACCACCTCAACAATAACAACCACAACAATAGCAGCAATAACAACAACAATAACCACCACAACAACAACAAGGACAACGACCACAACAATCACAACAAGAATAACAACCACAATAACGACCACAACAATAACAATACTAATTCCCGTGCCTCTCTTGTTTCCGTCCGAAGGGCCCCCCCGGAATCCAGCCATGGAGACCCACTTGGGGAGCCTTCCTCCGCTCCTCTCTCAGGTGGGATTGTGGGGGGTGGGGGGGGGCCTCTCCTGCCCCATTTTGGGGGGCCATCGGGATTCAGTGTCCGTTCGGTTTCCCTTCCAGAATTCTCTCTCCGCCCGTTTCAAGAACTTGGGGGTCAGTCCGGCCAAGAAAGGCCCCTCCCTCTACAAAAGGTACGGCGGGACCCCATGGCACCCCTGGGTAACAGGCTCGGTCAGTGGTTTCTACAGAGGCGGGGTGGCCATCTGTCGGGAGGGATCAGGTGGCGTCTTCCTTTATGGCAGGAAGGGGGGTGGACTGGATGGCCTTTGGGGGTCCCTCTCACCTCGAGGATTGGGATCCCGGTGGGGTTTCCTTCTCTGGGAGCTTCAAAGCGGAGGCTGGGTGGCTATCTGTCAGGAGGGATCAGATTGTGCCTTCCTGCCGGCAGAAGAGGGTTGAACTTTGGGGGTGTCTTCAAACTCAGTTTGGGATTTGGAGATATTTTGGAGTTCTGAACCCCGGAAAAAAGGTGCTCAAGCCTTTTATCATTGGCCGTTTTGGGTTTTTAATAATAATAATAATAATAACAATAGTAATAATAATTAGTAATATTCATAAGTAAATAACAATAATTTAAATGTTAATATTTAATAATATTATTTAATAGTATTAAAATTATTAAATATTAACATTTAAATTATTATTATTAAAATATGAATATCACTAAATATTAAATAATATTATTTCACATTTTAATAATAATAATTTAAATGTTAATATTTAATAATATTAAATAATATTAATATTAATATTAAATATTAACATTTAAATTATTATTAACATATGAATATTACTAAATATTATTTCACATTTTAATAATAATAATTTAAATGTTAATAATATTTAATAATATTAATATTATTAAATATTAAATATTAACATTTAAATTATTATTACTAAAACATGAATATTACCAAATATTAAATAATATTGATATTATTTCATATTTTAATATTAATTTAACTGTTAATACTTAATATTGAATAATATTATTGAACAATATTAATATTCAATATTCAATATTAACATTTAAATTGTTATTATTAAAATATGAATATCACTAAATATTAAATAATATTAAATAATATTATTTCATGTTTTAGTAATAATTAAATGTTAATATTTAATATTAATATTATTAAATAATAATATTAATAATAATTTTAATTTTAATATTTAGTGATATTATTAAATAATATTAATATGATTAAATATTGAATATTAACATGTAAATTATTATTATTATTAAAACATGAATATTACTAAATATTAAATAATATTGATATTATTATTAAGACTAATTTCCTTTCTTAGCCTGGCGCTTCCAAAGTCGTCTCAGCGTCCGAACGGGTCCCAATGGGTCAAACGGCACGTCATGCCGGAAGCCAAGGACGGTCAAGATGACCCCCAGAACCCCGTCGACTACTCCGAGATGCCGGTAAAGAAAGCCAGGGCAGCTAAAGTGGGACCAAACTGGGTTAACTGTACAGTGAAAAAGGCTGGATGGCCATCTGTTGGGAGGGAACGGATTGTGTCTTCCTTTATGGCAGAAAGGGGGGTGGACTGGATGGCCTTTGGGGGTCCCAACTCAGGGAGCCTTTGATCCTACAGTCCTATTTCCCCCATGAACCTGCTAATGTCTATGGGGCTGGATGGCCATCTGTCGGGAGGGATTAGATGGTGTCTTCCAAACTGATGTATTTGGCCTGAATAAATAAATGTGTTTATTTATTTAATATTATTAATAATATCAATATAAATAAACAAATGTTTATTTATTTAACATTATTAACATCAGTATAAATATTTATTTATTTAATATTATTAATAATATAAAGAAATAAATGATTATTTAATAATGATATCAATATAAATAAATAAATGTTTGTTTAATATTAATAATATCAGGTTAAATATATGATATCAATATAAATAAATCAATGTTTATTTATTTAATGTTATTAATAATATTAATATAAATAAATCAATGTTTATTTATTTAATGTTATTAATAATATCAATATAAATAAATAAATGCTTATGTATTTAATATTATTAATAATATCAATATAAATAAATAAATGCTTATGTATTTAATATTATTAATAATATCAATATAAATAAATAAATGCTTATGTATTTAATATTATTAATAATATCAATATAAATAAATAAACATTCATTCATTTAAGATTATTAATATCAATATAAATAAATTTTTATTTATTTAACATTAATATCAATATAAATATTTATTTATTTAATATTATTAATAATATAAATAAATAAATGTTTATTTGTTTAATATTAATAATATCAATATAAATATATAATATCAAATAAATAAATCAATGCTTATGTATTTAATATTATTAATAATATCAATATAAATATATAATATAAATATAAATAAATAAATGTTTACTTATTTAATATTATTAATAATACCAATATATAAATGTTTATTTAACATTATTAATAATATCACTATAAAATATATACATGCTTATTTATTTAATATTATTAACAATATCAATATAAATAAATGCTTGTGTATTTAATATTAATAATATCAATATCAATATATATCAATATAAATATAAATAAACGTTTATTTAACATTATTAATATCACTATAAATAAATATATACATGTTTATTTATTTAATATTATTAATAATATCAATATCAATATATAATATCAATATCAATAAATAAATGCTTGCTTATTTAATATTATTAATAATATCAATATCAATATATAATATCAATATCAATAAATAAATGCTTGCTTATTTAATATTATTAATAATATCAATATCAAAATATAAATAAATAAATGCTTGCTTATTTAATATTATTAATAATATCAATATATAAATGTTTATTTAGCATAATTATTAATATCACTATAAATAAATATATTTACAAGATTAATCTTAGTAATAATCTTAACCAATTTATTTATTGATCTTATCAATTTATTTATTGATATTGATATTATATATTGATATTGATATTATTAATAATATTAAATAAACAAACATGTATATATTTATTTATAGTGATATTAATAATGTTAAATAAACATTTATTTATATTTATATTGATATATATTGATTGCTTATTTAATATTATTAATAATATCAATATATAAATGTTTATTTAGCATAATTATTAATATCACTATAAATAAATAAACATGTTTACAAGATTAATCTTAGTAATAATCTTAACCAATTTATTTATTTAAGAATAATAAGAATATTTATTATTATTATTATTGTTATTATTATTATTATTATTATTGAATATATCTCTTCTGGTTTTTGCAGGCTTTGGAGCTCGTGACCCACAAAGGACTCGAATCGGACGGCGGTGAGTTGCATTTCTCTCCCATTTTGGCGCACGAATGATCTCTTTCTGCGATCTGACGTGCAAAGGATGCCGTGTCGGAGCGTCCCTTTGCAGTCGTGCAAGGAAGGCGTCTTCTCGCTCGGCCAAAACCTTTTGTGTCCTTCCAGGTGCCGCCGCCCAGGCCACGCCCCCTTTGGAGCCGAAGGTCCTGCACGCCGTTCCTTTCGAAATGAGGTGAGACATTGGAGGTCCCAAATGGGCCTCCTTGCATTTCGTTGAGTGTCAGGGCCTCATCGGGGGCCACGTCCGGACTTCGTGTGGTGGAGCCGCTTTCCCTGGAAATTCTCACGCAGAGGCTGGGTGGCCATCTGTCGGGAGGGATCGGATAATGCTTTCCTGCCTGGCAAACATATGGCTGGGTTGGATGGCCTTTGAAGGTCTTTCCCAACTCTAGGATCCAATAATAATAATAATAATACATAACAATGAATGATGGTGTCATCTCCTTTTCCTGGAGGCTTTAAAAGCGGAAGCTGGTTGGCCATCTGTCGGGAGGGATCAGATGGGGTCTTCGTTTATGGCTCAAAGGGGTTGGACTGGATGGCCTTTAGGGTCCAGCTCACCTTGAGGATTTGGATCTTGGTAGTGTTTCTGTCTCTGGAATCTTCGAAGTGAAGGCGGGGTGGCCATCTGTTGGGAGGATCAGATGGTGTTTTTATTGCAGAAGGGGGGGGAGCTTGATGGCTTTTGGGGGTCACTCTCACCTCAAGGATTTGTATCCTGGTGGCGTTTCCTTCTCTGGAAGCTTCAAGGCGGAGGCGGGGTGGCCATCTGTTGGGAGGGCTTTGGTTGTGTCTCCTGGATGGCCTTTGGGGGTCCCGCCGAACTCTAGGATTCCATGCACGGCCTTGATGGCTGGCTGGTCACCTGCCGGGCAAGATTGGGTGGTGTCTGTGGCTGAAGGGGGTGGACTGGATGGCCTTTGGGGGAGGCTGGATGGTCATCTGTCGGGAGGGATCAGATAGTGTCTCCCTGCCTGGCAAAAATAGGTCCCTCCCAACTCTAGGATCCAATAATAATAATAATAATAATCGATAACAATGAATGATGGTGTCATCTCCTTCCCTGGAATCTTCAAAGCGGAAGCGGGGTGGCCATCTGTCGGGAGGGATCAGATGGTGTCCTCCTTCCCTTTCCCACAGGAGCCTGTTCCTGCTCCAGATGCTGAAGGCCTGCTTCCGGGAGGCCAGCTGGCTGCTCTCGGTCTCCAGAGCGTCCGGCCCCGCGGCCGTGTTGGTGACCGGCTCCTTCCCGCAGGCCCCCTTCTTCTGGGGCATCCGCATCACCAAGGTCAGGCTGACCGCTGCGGCCACGGGAGAAAAGGGGGAGGGAGGCCTGTGGCTTGGACTCGTAGTGGACCGCACGCTCAGCATGAGCCAAGGGGGTGACGCTGCGGCGGAAAAGGCCAATGCCATTCCAGGTTGCGTCAATAGGAATCAATAGGAATCTCGTGTCCGGAGGGAGGAAAATAATAAAGCCGTGGCTTGACCCTAGTAATAGATACGGCTGAACGCGAGTCAAGAGGGTGACGCTGCGGCGGAAAAGGCCAATGCGATCCTAAGCTGCATCCATGTGTCTAGATGGAGGAAAGTGGGGTTGGACTAGGTGACCTTTGGGGGTCCCTTTCCAGAAGAGATCTGAACCCAAAGAGGTTTTACACGTGTGTGTGTGTGTGTGTTCCCCCCCCCCCCTTGCAGGAGTGCCACCCGAGGATGGAGAAGCTGTTCCGGGCGTTGGTGGAGGCCGAGTCCCGGGCGCCCTTGCTGACCCCCGACAAGAAGGCCCCCCTCGGAAGCGGAGGGGGAGGGGGGCCGCGCTGCCTGGCCCCGTGCCTCATCGGGGAGGAGGGCACCGCATGGAACCGGTGAGAGGAAGGCACCGCCCAATCCCTCCTGACAGACGGCCACCCAGCCTCAGTTCAGAGGAGGAGACTCCACTGGAAGGGCGTCTTAGTGCAGCCCCCATCAGCCAGGCAGGGAGGCAGTCAAAGCCCTCCCGACAGACGGCCATCCAGCCCAGTCCCATTCCGTTATGTAGGAAGGCACTATCCAAGCCCTCTCGACAGATGGCCATCCAGCCCAGTCCCATTCTGTTATGTGGGAAGGCACCATCCAAGCCCTCTCAACAGATGGCCATCCAGCCCAGTCCCATTCTGCTATGTAGGAAGACACCATCCAAGCCCTCTCAACAGATGGCCATCTAGTCCAGTCCCATTCCACTATGTAGGAAGACACCATCCAAGCCCTCTCGAAAGACGGCCATCCAGCCTCAGTTCAGAGGAGGAGACTCCACTGGAAGGGCATCTAGTCCAGCCCCCATCAGCCAGGCAGTGAGGCACACTCGAAGACCTCCTGACAGGTGGCCATCCAGCCACAGTGCAGAGAAGGAGACTCTACTGGAAGGGGCCCCCAAAGGGCGTCTAGTCCATTCCCCATTAGCCAGGCAGGGAGGCACAGTCAAAACCCTCCTGACAGATGCCCATCCATGCACTGGAAGGGATCCCCAAAGGGCAACTATATAGGAAGACACCATCCAATCTCTCCCGACAGATGGCCATCCTAGAAACTTCATGTGGAATAATGTCCAGGGTGGGAGAAAAAAAAGATACCGTTGTGTGTTTGAAGCAAGTGTGAGTGTTGCACTCAGCCAGCTTGGCTCGCATGGAGTATCTGTGCTGTTTGCACAGAGGTGGCCTGGCTGCTGTTGCCTGGAGGCACCCTTTGTCCAACTGGCCCTGGCTTAGTTTGCTGCCTGGGATTCAGTTGACCACAATGTTTGCGGTGAAGCACACGGAGAGCCGACAGAGGCCACGACACAAGAGCCCACTGTTGTTATAGAATGTAAACAAACTTGGTTGATGTATATATTGCGTCATGTCATGTCGTGTCAGGGTGTGTGTTGCGTGTGTGCTCCTTGCAGGGCCTGGATTGTGGAGCGGGTGGACGACCTGGCCGTGGTGTTCTTTGTGGACTTTGGCCAACTGGCCACCCTGCCGCTGACCTCTCTGCGGAAGCTGGAGGAGGACGAGTGGTGGTCCATCGGCCCCTTGGCCCAGCCCTTCGTGCTCCAAGGGGGTGAGTCCGCCCCACGCGTGGTCACCCGTGACCTTTCCCCATGCGTTCCATCACAAACACATGGGAAGAGTTTACTCAACTATAGCAGCTTACATTATATTATTACTATATATTATAATATTATCCATTATAATATTATTATATTATTATAGTATCATAATATTATATTATTAAATTATTGAATTGTATTATAATTATATAATAATACCATGTAGCAGGAACAGAAACATGTTCACGCTGTGCTCCATGTTGTCCTAAGTGGGCCCCTGTGACCCCCTGCCTGGCTGAATGGGGTCAGACTAGATGACCTTTGGGTCACCCATTGGATGGGTATCAAGGGCCATTCCCCCTCAAAGGCAAGAATACAGCGATTCCTTCCAATGGAATCCAACCCATTTCCTACTCTATTAACCTGTATGGCCAGATGGAGTTGGGCTAGATGGCCTTTGGGGGTCCCATTCCCCACTCTGATTTCTCTGTAGCGAAATGGGGTTGGGCTAGATGGTCTTTGGGGATCCCTTCTCAGAATCAACTCCATTGGATCTGGATCCGATTTAGTTTTCAAAATTTCCTAATTTAGTTTTGCAAAATTTCCTAACTTAATTTTGTAAAATTTCCTAATTTAGTTTTGTAAAATTTCCTAATTTAGTTTTGCAAAATTTCCTAATTTAGTTTTGCAAAATTTCCTAATATAGTTTTGCAAAATTTCCTAATTTTATTTTGTAAAATTTCCTAATTTAGTTTTGTAAAATTTCCTAATTTTATTTTGTGTAAATTTATTATTTTATTTTGTTATATAATAATAATAATAATATATAATAATAACACCATCCTGTTTCATTTTATTTTGTGTGAATTTATTATTGTATTTTGTTATAACAATAATAATACATAATAATAATACCATTCTGTTCCATTTTATTTTCTGTATATTTGCTTTATTATTTTATTTCGTTATATAATAATAATAATAATAATAATAATACATAATAATACCATCCTGTTCGATTTTATTTTGTGTGAATTTGCTTTATTATTTTATTTTGTTATATAATAATAATAATAATACATAATAATAATAATAATACATAATAATACCATCCTGTTCGATTTTATTTTGTGTGAATTTGCTTTACGATTTTATTTTGTTATTGTAATGATCTTCTGATGTAATTTTTCTTTTCTGTATTTTATTGTGTTGTGTTGTATTTATGGGTTTGGCCTCATGTTAGCTGCCAAGAGTCCCCATTGGGGAGATGGTGGCGGGGTATAAATATTATTATTATTATTATTATTATTAATAATAATAATAATAATAATAATAATGTAATAGATTCTCTGCCTCTCTAGAAGTTTTCCCACCTGAAGTCATGATGAGGCGGATTTTGAGAGGGACACTGGACGGTCCTCTGGAAAGGGAGGTAAGCCTAGAGTATTATTACTATTATTATTATTATTATTATTATTATTACACTACGTAACATGCATTGAGTTCCTTATCAATGTCATTTCCTCATTGGTTCTAGCATCAAAACATGGGAAAAGTTTATTAAACTGCAAAAACTTTTGCCTTTGCGGTAAAGACACCCTGCAGCACGTTATATTATATTATTATAATATAATTATAATATAATCAATTATATAATTATGATTAATTATATAATTACAATATAATAATATAATATAACGTGCTGCAGGGTGTCTTTACCGCAAAGGCAAAGGTTTTTGCAGTTATAATATATTATAATATATATGATTATAATATATATATATATTAATTATAATATAATTATATAATACAACGTGCTGCAGGGTGTCCTTACCGCAAAGGCAAAGGTTTTTGCAGTTATATTATAATATATATAATTATAATATATATATTATAATTATAATTATATAATACGTGCTGCAGGGTACGCTTACCGCAAAGGCAAATTTTTTGCAGTTATAATATTATATTATATATAATTATATTATAATTATATTATAAATGTACTATATTGTTATATAATTATATTACAACTCTGATTATATTTATCATTATAATTATACTGTTATAATTACAGTATATTACACTATGCAACAGAATTCTTGTAATTTGTTCTATCGTAAAAAAAATATGGCAAAAGTTTATTAAACTTGCAAAAACTTTGGTCTTTTGTGGGAGGGACATCCTGAGTATATTATATTATATAATTATATATATATATAATATTATAATTGTATTATATATTATATTGCAACTATATTTATTACTATATTATATTTACTATATTATAATTACAATAATAATATAATACATTACATGTATTATAATTATATATATGATTACATTAGATTACTATATTATATGATACGTATTATAATACAATTATAATATAGTAAATATAATATCTTGCAGTAATAATATAATACACATATATTGTATTACATTATATGTATTATATATCTTATATATTATATTATTACATATTATAAAATATCTATGTATTATAGAATATCTTACAGAAATAATGCATTATGATATATTACATATAATTATAGATGTCATTGTGTTATAATTGCATATTATATAATATTACAACTATATGCATTATTATATAATTTTATTTATTATATTATTATAATTGCATTATAATATATTACACTAATAATACATTACATACATTATATTAAATAGTATAATATATATTTATCATATTATAATTGTATTGTTGTAATATATTACACTAATAATACATTACGCATATTATAATGCGATATATTATTGTAGTAAAATTGTATTATATAATATTACAACTATGTGTATTATATAATTTTATGTATTATATTATAATTGCATTATATTACACTAATAATACATTACATACATTATATTACATAGTATATTATAATATTTATCATATTATTGTAGTTGTAATGTTACACTAATACATTACACATATTATATTGCACATTATAATTCTATATATTATTGTAGTATCATTACATAATGTTACAACTATATGTATTATTATATAATTGTATTTATTATATTATAATTGCATTTTAATATAGTACACTAATATAATACATTGCATACAGTATATTACATAGTATAATATTTATCATATTATAACTGTTTTGTAATATATTACATTAATAATACATTACACATATTATAATTCTATATATTGTAGTATAATTGTAATATATTATATAGTACTACAACTATAAGTGTTATTATATTATAATTATATTATTATAATTGCATTGTTATATTACACTGATGATACATTACATATATTATACATTATATTACCTAATGTATTAAAACCTAAACCAATTTAATATAGTCTGTGGCATGTAAACAAAGTTCCTGGAGGAGAGCAACGTTTCAACTCGGGGCCCATGCCATTAAATAGAAAAATTTGCAAAACTAAATAGGAAATTTTGCAAAACTAAACAGGATTTTTTTTTGCAAAACCAAATAGGAAATTGTGTGCAAAACTAGGAAATTTTGCTCAAAACTCAATAGAAAATTTTGCAAAACTCAATAGGAATTTTTGCAAAACTCAATTGGAAATTTTGCAAAACTCAATAGAGAATTTTGCAAAACTAAATAGGAATTGGGTTGTAGGTTTTTTCGGACTGTATGGCCATGGAATTTTTCCAAATAAATAGGAATTTTTCCAAAACTCAATAGGAATTTTTGCAAAACTAAATAGGAAATTTTGCAAATTTTGTTGCATAGTGTCGTTTACCTCAAGTCCCAAACTCCCCAAATGTGAAGCACATGTCCCCCCCCCCCCCCCCCCCCCCCGTCTCTTTCCAGCCCCACATCTTGCAGTTCACCCTCCGAGGAGGCTTTGGAGAAGAGATTCAGAAGGACGGTGGCGAGGAGGCAGCCCCAAAGAGCAATGGCGACGCGCATCCTCCTCCTCCTCCGCAGGACGTTTAGATGCTTACGGGGGGGGGGGGGGCGTGGACGGACGGCACAATCAATTGTTTTGGGGGTGATGGGCGTGGAGGCCCCGCTTTTTGACTCTTGGGGGGCTGGGGGGGAAGAGTCCCCTTGGAAGGCTGCCCGGCAACGCCATTGATTTCCGGGCCGTGGGGATGGGGTCCTTTTGCTTTGAGTCTCGTTTTGGTTGATTAAAAGCCCGCTCTTGATGCCGTTGAGCGCCTTCGTTGCTTTGCAAACAGGGAACATGGGATTGGCAACCCATTTGGGACCAGAAGGGGACTCCGTCCATGGTGGTTGTGCTTCCATGTCTGGCCGGAAACTGCAAATTAGACTATTATTATTATTATTGTTATTATTATTATTATTATTATTATTATGAAGCATCTCTATGAAAAAAGGGACTGGAAGTCCTCCAACGAAGGACTCGTAAGGTTTTTCCCTTCGCCATTGATGGCTGTGGTGTTGAGGGAGAAAAGGAATGGAGGGAAGGAAGGAAGAAGGGAAGGAAATGAGGAAACGGAGGAAGAAGGAAGGAAGGGAAAAGGATAAGGAAGGAGAGAGGGAGGGAAGGAGGAAGGAAAGGGGAACAAAGGAAGGAGAGGGAAGAAAGAAAGGGAGGAATGAGAAGGAAACAGGAGGGAGGAAGCAGGTAAAGAAGAAAGGGAAGGGAAGAAAAGACGGAAGAAATGAAAGAGGAGGAAAGGAAAGAAAGGGAAGGAAATGGGGAGAAGGGAGGAAATGGAAAGAAGGGAAGAAGAAGGGAGGAAAGGAAGAGGAAAGGAGAGGGAGAAAGAGGAAAGGAAGGAGAAAAGAAAGGGAAAAAGAAGGAAGGAAAGGGAGGAAGAGGGAAGAAGAGGAAAGGGAAAGGAAGGAGAGGGAAGGAAGAAGAGAAAAAGAAGAGAAAAAGGGGAAAGCATGGAAAGAAGGAAAGAAAGAGGGAGGAAATGAAGTCCTGATGTGGAAGAAAAGCAGGATATAATAATAATAATAATGGAAGGGGAAGAAGGAGGTGTGAAAAGGAAGGAGGGAAGAAAGTGGGGGAAAAGTAGGAAGTGGGGAAGGAATGAAGGAGGAAAGAGAAGGAAACGGGGGGAAGGAAGAAAAGGGAAAAGGGAAGGGGAAGAAGGAAGGAGAGGGAGGAAAGGGAAAAGAGAAGGAAATGGGGAGGACGGAGGGAGAAAGCAGGGAAAGGAAAGGAGAAAAAGAAGGAAAGGCAATGAAGAAAGGAAGGGGAAGGAGAGAGCATTGGAGGAAAAGAAGAAAAAGGGAGAAAGTGGAAAAAAGGAAGGAAGGAAGGAAGGAGAAAAGGAAAGGGAAGAAGGAAGTAAAGATGGAAGGAGGTGTGAAAAGAGGAAGGAGGGAAGAAAGTAAGGGGGGAAAGGTAGGAAATGGAATGAAGGAGGAAAGAGAAGGAAACGGGGAGGGAGGAAATGGAAAGAAGGAAGAAAAGGGAAGGAAAAGAGGGAGGGAAGGAAGGGGAGGAGGGAGGGAGGAAGCAGGGAAAGAAGGAAGGGAACAAGGAAAAGGGAAGGAGAAAAAGGGAATGAAGAAAGGAAGGGGAGGAAGGAGGGAAAGAAAAAAGGAAGGAGGAAGAAGGAAGAAGAGGAGGAGGAAAAGGAGAGGAAAGGGGAAGAGGAAAGAGGAAAGAAGGGAGGAAAGAGGGAAGGAGGTGTGGAAAAAAAGTAAGGAAATAGAAGGTAGGAAACAGGGAAGGAACAGAAGACAGGCAATGGAGACCCTCCCGAGCTGGACTCTCTGGGCCGGCAAAAGCAGGCCCATGCTTCTCACTGAAACACCGGTCAGTTGATGCTGGCCAGAGCCCGGCCCTTGGCTTGACCGGTTCAAGAGGTCCTTCCCAGCGTGTGTGGACGGACGGACGGAAGGATGGACAGAGAGAGAGAGGGGGTCGCAGACGGTTTCCCCGTCCAAAGAGACCAATGTAATTGTTCTTCTCCAAAGGTACATTTCCCCCCGAGCGCGCCCCTCATACACCGGGAGCCCCAAAATAAACAGGAAGAGGAAGTGGAGAGAGGAAGGGGGGGGGAGGGAGTGTACACGGGGGGGGGGGGGGGAAGAAAATAAATTAAGCCGGCCGCAGAGGGCAACGATGACCCCGAGAGAGAGAGAGAGAGAGAGAGAGAAGGAGGCGCATTCGGGGGGGCTTTTTTCCGTGTGCCTGGCGTGTTTGGGGGTTTTTAATCAGAGTGGCAGAGGCGGGGGGTCCTCGGGTCGGTCAGTGAGTCCACCGGTCAGTTGGCTGGCTGGCTCGCCGTCCCCGAGTCCCAGCAAAGCCCGGCGCGCAAAGAGTCCGGCCAGGATCCCGCCCAAAACAGTCTTGCGGGAAGGAGGGAGGTCCCGAGCCTTGTCCCAAAGGAGGAAGAGGAAGAGGAAAGGCCGGCGGTCCGAGTGCGGCCCTTGGGCGGCTCCTGCTTGGCCGGACAGAGGCTTCCTTCCCTCGCTAGCCGTCTTCCTTGGGCGGCGTGTACCAGCCTGCAAGAGGAAGGAAGGAAGGAAGGAAGCAGCCCAGTCAGTGATTTTGAACTGCTAGGTGGGCAGGAGCTGGGGCTAATGGCAGGCGATCACCCCACTTAGATTCAAACCGCCAACCTTCTGGTCAGCAAATTCAGCAGCTTGGCAGTTTGATCTGATACACCCACCTATTGATCTACTGACTTTGGCATGTTTATGAACTGCTAGGTTGGCAGGAGCTGGGGCTAATGGTGGGAGCTCGCCCCTCTTCCCAGATTCAAACCACCAACCTTTTGGTCAGCAAGCTCAGCAGCTTGGAAGTTTAACCCACTGTGCCCACCTATTGATCTACTGATATTGGCATTTTTTTGAACTGCTAGGTTAGCAGGAGCTGGGACTAACAGCGGGAGCTCATCCCACTCCCTGGATTCAAACTATCAACCTTTTGGTCAGCAATTTCAGCAGCTCGGCAGTTTGATCTGCTACGCCAGCGGTTCTCAACCTGGGGGTCGGGACCCCCCGGGGGGTCGTTTGGCCATTTTCGGGGGGTCGCCAGGTCGCCTTGGCTGGCCCCGCCCCCTTCAAAATGGCTGCCGACCCCCCCCCCCAAGCCAGCCAAATGGCACTCTGTGGGTAGTCAGGAGGAGGTGCTATTGAGATAAAGGCACTGGGGAAGAAGACTCTCTGTTCTGGCCATCCGTGGAGCCTTCACCGCCTGGCCTTTGCCTCCTTTCAAGCTCAGTAGGGGGTGAGGGATGGACAGAGGGCTCCGCGCAGGGCCTAGCTCCTTCAAATCAAGGTAAATTTCCCCTCACGAACTCCAGTATTTTTTGCTTGCCATGGGGATTCTGTGTGCCAAGTTGCCATATAGATTGGAAAATAAACTGAGTTTTTCAGCCCATTTCTAAGGCTGAAAAAGCCACTCTCCGCTTATAGTCGGGAGAGGGTCCTGGCGGGAAGACATGGGGCTGAAAGAAGGCCTTTCTTTCAACGCCAAGCTTTCCCGCCATGGCTCTCTTTTTGTCTCCGCACAGCAGCCACGCGCCTTCCCCTCCTCCTGTCCTGCGCGCTATTCCCTCAGCCTCCTCCCCCCTCCCTGGTGAACTTCACTTCCATCCTTCAAGGAGCCCTGCTCCAAAAGTGAGCAGAAAGCCCAGGAGGTGTGGAAACAGGGGCTGAGGCTGTCCCTGTGTTGCTTTTGTGTGCACATGCGCTTAGCCTCGGGACAGCTGCCTCGGCCTCGCCATTTGACTCCCTCTGCTGCCTCTCCAAGCGAGAGGAAGCAGCTGCGGCAGCAGTAACCCTGAGCGCTGCCGTTGCCTCTTTGCTCTGCTCTGCTGGGACCTCCACCTCCCTGCCTTCTCTCTCTGTGGGTTTCTCTCGCACCATCTCCTTGCCGTCGCCCCTGAGCTTTGCCTAAACTCTTGCTTCACCCTCCTTCTCCTCCTCTTTCTCGCTAGCCCAGAGCCACAGCGTTTTAGCCAGAGGCAGATCTCTCTGTGCAAAGACACAGCAAAACCCCTATAGATATATAAAGGGGGATAGATAGATACACAAGGGAAGAGGAGGCTCTCATTTTTTATATATATTTGTGTGTATATGTGTATACACACATACACATACATACACATATACATATATTTACATACACACACACACATATATAAAAGGAGAGCCTCCTCTTCCCTTGTGTATCTATCTATCTATCCCCCTTTCTCTTCTCCAGGAAGGGGAGGGGTAAGAGGGGAACCCAAAGGCAGGGAGAGAGGGAGACACACACTACCTCGCTTTTTCTCTCTCAACGCAAACACACACACATACACACAGGAGGAGGAGGAAGCAGCGGGGGGGGGGGGGGTTAAAAGGACACAAGGCTGTTTATCACCAACATTCTGCCTCAACTCCGACCTTAAAAAGAGGACTGCAAACCCATGCCTTGCATATCTTTCTCAGTTTCACCTCTGAAACCCTAAAACTAAATGGCACAAAATGAAGGGAGGAAGGAGGGAAGGCAGGCAGGCAGCGAAGAAAGACTGGGTTTGGAGGTGGAAAGACGGAGAAAATAATAAAGGGGGAATCTAGGAGGGTTGAGAGAGAGGCAAAGGAGGGCACTCAGTGAAGAAGAAGAAGAAGAAAGGTGCTTGGGCTGCTCCTTCTTCCTCCTAGGCATCCCCCCCCCCTCCTTTTGACCGGGTTAAGAAAGAGGGAGAGAGAAAAGGAGCCACGGCGAGAGGTTGGAGGGGGGCAAAAGGTGCCTGGCTTGGTTGCCTTTTGGATTGCTCGCGCGCACCTTCCTCTCCCCAGTCCTTCCTACTTCCTTCCCACCTCAGTTTCCCCCCCCCCTCTTTTCCAACACCCCCTTCCTACCCCAGTCTTTACTATACCCAGCCCCTCTCTCCCGCTATTCCAGCTTCCTTTCCACCCCAGACTTTCCCAGGTTCCAGCCTCCCTTTTCTATTTCAGTCTTGCCCCTTTCCCTACTACAGTTTTCCACTTTCTCAGCCCATTTCTCCTCCCAATCTTTCCCATTTTTCTAGCCCCCTTCCCCACCTCAATCTTTCCCACTTGCCCCCTTGCCACTTCAAAATTTCCACCATTCCAGGCTCCCCTTTGAACCCCCATCTTGCTCATTTTGCAGTCTTACTTTCCCCATTCCAATCTTTTCCAGCTGCTCCTCTTTACCACCCCAATTTCCCCAGCTTTTCCCAATCCCCCCCCCCCACACACACTAGACTGGAGTATTTCCCACTTTTCCAGCCCCCCTTTCCATCCCAACCTTTCCCAGTTTCCAGCCCCCCTTTCATACCTGAGTCATTCCCCCTTCCCACCCCAATCTGTCCTACTTTTTCAGTTACCCCTTTTCCACTTAGTTTTCCCACTTTTTCAACCACCCAGCTCCAATGTTTTCCCATTTCCAGTCCTTCTTTCCCACCCCCTTCACAAGTGTTTCTCCCTTTTCCTTATTCATACACACACACAGCATTTCCCCCAAAATGTATACCATGGTGATTATTGGATTGTTGTTGTTGTTACATTTATTATTTTACACCATGTATTATTGTTATTACATTTATTATTTTACTCTACGTATTATTGTGGAGCCCCCGGTGGCGCAGTGGGTTAAAGCACTGAGCTGCTGAGCTTGTTGATTGAAAGGTCGCAGGTTCGATTCCGGGGAGCGGCGTGAGCTTCCGCTGTCAGCCCCTAGCTTCTGCCAACCTAGCAGTTCGAAAACATGCAAATGTTAGTAGATCAATAGGTACCGCTGCGGGAAGGTAACGGTGCTCCATGCAGTCATGCTGGCCACATGACCTTGGAGGTGTCTACGGACAACGCTGGCTCTTTGGGTTAGAAATGGAGATGAGCACCACACCCCAGAGTCAGACATGACTGGACTTAATGTCAGGGGACTACCTTTACCTTTACCTTACTATGTCTGTATATGTTTGTAATTATTATTATTATTACATTTATTATTTTACTCTATTATTATCAGAAGGATATGTAAGCACATTTACATTGAAGAAAGCTAGAATAATGGTTTAATCAGAGTCGGACAGTATTATCTGAAATTACAGTTTTATGTAAATATCCAGAAACATTTAACCTATGATGCCTCAATTAATGTAATTTTATTGGTATCTGTTTTTTATTTTGAAATTTACCAGTAGCTGCTGCATTTCCCATCCTAGGCTTATACTTGAGTCAATAAGTTTTCCCATTTTTTTTGTGGTAAAATTAGGTGCCTCAGCTTATACTTGGGCCAACTTATTATTGAGTATACACAGTAATACTTTTAAGTCCAATACCATCTTTGGTGGATTAATCACTATTTATTTATTTATTTATTTACTTTACTTTACTTCTATACCGCTGTTCTCAGCCCGAAGGCGACTCACAGCGGTTCACAGCACATAGGAAACAGCAAAATTCAATGCACCAATATAAAAAACAGTTAACAACATATCTAATACACAGTTAGTACACAATTACTATAATCATTCACTAACGTCTCATCACTAAAAACAATCCAGATCCGTCATCCATTGTTCCATTCCTATATTATTACCAATCATAGCACTAACTACTCGAACGCCTGCACAAAAAACCAGGTCTTTACTTTTTTGCGGAATACAACCAGAGATGGTGCTAATCTAATGTCCGTGGAAAGGGCGTTCCACAGCCGGGAGCCATCACCGAGAAGGCCCTATGCTTTAATTATGTTCAATTTGTAACAATCAAAATACATCCTGCATATTAGATATTTGCATTAGAATCCATAAGAGTAACAAAATTATTTATAAAATAGCAACGAAAATATGGTTGGGGGTCATCACAACATGAGGAACTTTATTTAGGGGTCACGGCATTAGAAAGGTTGAGAACCACTGTGCTACGCCCATCTATCAATCTACTGACATTGGCATGTTTTCGAACTGCTAGGTTGGCAGGAGCTGGGGCTAACAGTGAGAGCTCACCCTGCTCCCTAGATTCAAACCACCAACCTTTTGGTCAGCAAGTTCAGCAGCTTGGAAGTTTATAAATAATATAATTTTTAATAATGCAATTATTACTACAATTTATGTAACTTAGTATAATATAATTACTAATATAAGAAATATAATTTATTATAGTTATATGATGTTTTTGGACTGCTAGGTTGGCAGGAGCTGGGGCTAACGGCAGGAGCTCATCCCGCTCCCAGGATTCAAACCACCAACCTTTTGGTCAGCAAGTTCGGCAGCTTGGCAGTTTAACGTGCTGCACCCACCTATTAATCTACCGGCATTGGCATGTTTATGAACTGCTAGGTTGGCAGGAGCTGGGGCTAACGGTGGGAGCTCACCCCACTCCCTGGATTCAAACCACCAATCTTTTGGTCAGCAAGTTCAGCAGCTCAGCAGTTTGATCCACTATGCCTATCTATCAATCTACTGACATTGGTGTGTTTTTGAACTGCTAGGTTGGCAGGAGCTGGAGCTAATGGCAGGAGCTCACCCCGCTCCCCGGATTCAAACCGCCAACCTTTTAGTCAGCAAGTTCAGCAGCTTGGCAGTTTATAAGTAAGATAATTTTTAATAATACAATTATTACTATAATGTATGTAATTTATAATACTATAATTACTAATATAAGAAATATATAATTTATAATAGTAATATAATGTTTTTGGACCGCTAGGTTGGCAGGAGCTGGGGCTAACACCAGGAGCTCACCCCGCTCCCAGGATTCAAACCACTAACCTTTTGGTCAGCAAGTTCAGCAGTTTAACCCGATGCACCCACCTATTGATCTACTGACATTGGCACATTTTTGAACTGCTAGGTTGGCAGGAGCTGGGACTAACAGCGGGAGCTCACCCCACTCCCCAGATTCGAACTGCCAACCTTTTAGTCAGCAAGTCCAGCAGCTTGGCAGTTTAACCCACTGTGCCCACCTATTGATCTACTCACATTGGCATGTTTTTGAACTGTTAGGTTGACAGGAGCTGGGGCTAACGGCGGGAGCTCACCCCACTCCTTTGACTCACCGTTCTTCTCGTGGATCTGGACCAGGGACTTGTAGGACTGCTGGGCCCGCGTCAAGCTGTACTGGTTCTGTGGGGGGGGGGGGGCAGAGGGGTCAGTGGCTCCGCCCTCCCCTGGGCGACCCCCACCCTGACCCCGGGGGGGGGAGGGGGCGGGGCTGACCTTGTTGGCCCCGAACTGGACCCTGGCCTTGCCCTTCACCAGCGTGGCGCTGATCTGCATGATGACCGACTCCACCGAGTAGGCGCTGCTCCAGCCCTGCCAGGGAGGGAGAGGGGACAGCTCGGACAACAAGGCACAAGCCCTCCCGGCAGATGGCCATCCGGCCAGACACACAGTAGAAGGAAGACCCATGGGGAGAACTAAGGTCATAGAATCCTAGACTTGGATGGGACCCCAAAGGACATCCAGTTCAGCCCCCTCCTGCCAAGGCAGCAAAAAAAGGCACAATACAAACCCTCCTGACAGATGGCCATCCAGCCAAATAGACATTAGAAGACCCATGGAGGGACCCCAAAGGCCAACCCCCCTCCGGCCAAGGCGGAGACCACTGAGACCCTCATCTACTGACCAATCAAGACCAAACTTGGCACACAGAGCCCCCATGACCCACTCTACATCCTGGTGCACTTTCGAGGAGGACAGACCATGGATGATGGGACTTCAAGTACCTCCACTCCCTTCCCAAGACTGCTGCAACCCTCATCTAATGACCAATCAAGACCAAACTTGGCAAACAGAGTCCCCATGACCCACTCTACATCCTGCTGCAGCTTGGAGGAGGGTTGACCATGGATGATGGGACTTGCAGTATCTTCACTCACTTACTGAAACCACTGCGACCCTCATCCAATGACTGATAAAGACCAAACTTAGCACACAGAGCCCCCATGACCCACTCTACATCCTGCTGCTGTTTGGAGGAGGCTGGACCATGGATGATGGGACTTCAAGTACCTTCACTAACTTCCTGAAAACAATGCAGCCGTTATCCAAACTGGATGTCCTTTGGGGTCCTTTGGGGTTCCATCCAATAAAGACCAAACTTGGCACACAGAACCGCCATTACCCACTTTCTCTAATAATTCGGGCAGCGCCAGGTCCCCAAGCTAAAAATATACTAGGCGGCAAGGGCACAATACAAGCCCTCCTGACAGATGGCCATCCAGACAAATAGGCATTAGAAGACCCATGGAGAGAACTAAGATGATAGAATCCTAGAGTCCAGCCCTCTTCTGGCAAGGCAGGAAAAGCACCCTCTGAACCCTCCCGACAGATGGCCATCCAACCATCTAGAGTTGGAAGGGACTCCAAAGGCCACCCCGTCCAACCCCCTCCTGCCAAGGCAGAAAAGGCACAATACAAGCTCTCCTGACAGATGGCCATCCAGTCACATAGGCATTAGAAGACTCATGGGGGGGGGGGGGCAGGCAGACTATAGAATCCTAGATTTGGAAGGCCATCCAGCCAAACTCTCCTGACAGATGGCCATCCAGCCAAACCCTGGAAGGGAGACACCCTTCTTCCACTCAAGGGCCACCCATTCCACTCCGCTCCACTCCCATTTGGCTGTGCGAGAAGGCACAACCCAAGCCCTCCAAGCAGAGGCCCAGCCAGCCCCAAAGGAGGAGACTTCTCCAGGTCCCGGAGCCCCCCTCCTCACCTGCTTCGTTAAGAGCTCCATGCAGATGGCCCCTCCGCCCAAGACGTACCTGAGAAGGAAGGAAGGAAGGAAGGAAGGAAGGGGGGGAGGGAGGAGAGAGGGAACAGGTGAGCACCTTCTCTTCCCTTTCCCTGTTTTGGGGTTCCTTCCCAACCACCTTTTCTTGCACCCCAATAACCCTTTTTTTAATGGTGCCTGGCATTTGGACCCCCAAAGACCCCCTTTGTCCCTTCCACGACCCAAAGGATGGACGTCATGATTGCGGACAGAAGGGCACCTCCCCCGTGGATACACATTAATACATAAAATTAATTCAAGAACTATAAGTTATAATTATGTTATAAATTATATTACTTAAGTTAATTTCTAATTTAAGTACTATAGTTTATAATTTCTAATACAATTTATAATAATAATATAATTTCCGATACAAGTATTACAATTTTAATAAAGTTACTAATATAATTCATAATAATATAATAACTAATATGTGAAATATGATTTATAATATAATTTCTGCTATAATTTGTAATAATATAATTTCTAATATAAGAAATATCATTTATAATATAATTACCACTATAATTTATGTAACGTATAATATGATTTCTAATATAAGTATATAATTTTAATAATACAATTACTAATGCTACTAATATAATCGATTATAATATAATTACTAATATAAGAAATATAATTTATAATATAATTACTTCTATATTTTATATAATGTATAATAATATAATTTCTAATGTAAGTATATAATTTTAATAATACAATTACTAATGTAACTAATATAATCTATTATAATTACTAATATAAGAAATAGAATTTATAATTACTACTATAATTTATATAATATATAATATAACTTCAAATGTAAGTAATTTTAATAATACAATTACTAATGTAACTAATATAATCTATTATAATTACTAATATAAAATATGATTTATAATATAATTACTACTATAATTTGTAATAATATAATTTCTAATATAAGTAATATAATTTTAATAATACAATTACTAATATAATTTATTATAATAATACAATTGCTCATATAAGAAATATAATTTATAATAATAATTACTAGTATAATTTATATAATTTCTAATATAAGTAATATAATTTTAATACAATTACTAATATAATTTATTATAATAATATAATTACTCAGAAATATAATTCATAATAATAATTAATAGTATAATATATATAATTTCTAATATAAGTAGTATAATTTTATTAATAAAAGTACTAATTTAATTAATATAATTGCTTATATAAGGATTGTAATTCATAATAATAATATAATTAATGTAATATGATTTATATAATTATTATTAGTAATAATAATACCTAGAAAAGGCCCCAAATTTCATAGATTTCCCAGTCAAAGCCTCCTTGATGCTCAGATAATACATCCCCTCTCCCCAGTATTTTCAGTCTTTCTATATTTAGTTCCTTGTTATTATTATTATTGTTGTTGTTGTTGTTATTATGATGTTTGTGTTGATTTACGCCTTGGGAAAGAGCGGTCACTCACTCACCCTCCGGACAGGACAGGCGAGACCACCCTGACGAAGGGAGGGTCGAAGGGGAAGTTGTCCTGCAAGGAAGGAAGGAAGGAAGGAAGGAAGGAAGGAAGCCAGAAGGGAAGGGCGGGCCCGTTGGCATGCCGCACTACAACTCCCGCGGCCTTTGCCCCCCATCTCCCCCCCCCCCGTACGCCCTTTTGGTGGGCCTGACCTTGAAGGTGAAGTTGAGGAGGATGAAGTCGGACCCCTCTTTCTCCTTCAGGATCTGGAGGTCGCTGTGCAAGGCGCTGTCCTCGTCCACCCTGGGGGGGGGGGGGAGGGGGGAGCAGAGGAGTCACTCAAGCACCAGGGACGCCCCCCAGCCCCTCACCCAACCCCCCCCCTCAAAGACCCACGTCTCAAGGTGGGGAAGGAGGTCAACAGCCTTGACACCTGAATATTAGGAAGGACTTCCTGACCGTAAGGAGAGCTGTTCAACAGCGGAACTCTCTGCCACATGTCGGGAGGGCTTCGGGTGTCTCTCCTTGCAGGGCAGAAGAAGGGTGGACTAGATGCCCTTTGGGGTCCCCTTCCAACTCTAGGGTTCTATCTCTTTATTATGGGAGAAGGAGGGTGGACTGGATGGCCTTGGGGGGGCCCCTTCCCACTCTAGGATTCTAACTCTGTTGTGTCTATCCATCTATCTATCTATGGTCTATGGCTGAAGGAGGGTGGACTGCATGGCCTTCTTTTGGTCTCTTCCAACTCTAGGATTCTATTGATCGATCTATTCATCTATCTATCTATTTATGCATCTTGCTAGGCATCTATCTTTCCGTCCATCCGTCCATCCGTCCGTCCGTCCATCCATCTATGCATCTATCTGTCTGTCTGTCTATCCAATATTTATTATTATTATTATTATTATTATTATTAAATAATTTATCTATTAAACCCATCCATCATTTCTATCCATTTATTTACCTCTCCTTCCATCCCTCCCTCCGTCTATCTATTTATCGCTGCATCCATCCACACATCTATACTTCTTCCTATCTATCTATCTATCTATCTATCTATCTATCTATCTATCCCTCTATCCAACCATTGGATAGATGGGTGGATGGCTGGCTGGATGGGTAGGTAGGTAAGTAAGTAGATAGATAGATAGATGGATGGATGGATAGATGATAGATAGATGCATGCATGCATGCATGGATGGATGGATGGATGGATGGATGGATAGATAGATAGATAGATAGATAGATAGATAGATAGATAGATAGATGATGGAGGGATGGCTAAATGGATGGCTAGATTGATTGTTGGGAAGATGGGTGGGTGGGTGGATGGCTAGATAGATAGATAGATAGATAGATAGATGGCTAGATAGTTGGGAAGATTGTTGGATGATGGATGGATAGATTTATCTATTTATGCATCGTGCTATGCATCCATCCGTCTGTCCATCCATCTATCTATGCATCCTTCTGTCTATCTATCTACGCATCCTTCTATGCATCCATCTATCCATCCATGCATCTATCTGTCTATCTATGCATCTATTTATGCATTGTGCTATGCATCCATGCGTCTGTCCATCCACCTATCTACGCATCTATCTGTCTGTCTATGCATCTATCTATTTATGAATCGTGCTATGCATCTATCTTTCCATCCATCCATCCATCCATCCATCCTTCCATCCTTCCTTCCTTCCTTCTTTCTTTCTTTCTTTGCATCTATCTATTTATACATTGTGCTATCCATCCATCCATCCTTCCTTCCTTCCTTCCTTCCTTCCTTCCTTCCTTCCTTCCTTCCTTCCTTCCTTCCTTCTTTCTTTCTTTGCATCTATCTATTTATACATTGTGCTATCCATCCATCCATCCATCCATCCATCCATCCTTCCTTCCTTCCTTCCTTCCTTCCTTCCTTCCTTCCTTCCTTCTTTCTTTCTTTTCTTTCTTTCTTTCTTTGCATCTATCTATTTATACATTGTGCTATCCATCCATCCATCCATCCATCCACCTGTCTATCTATTTATGAATCCTTCTATCCATCCATGCCTGCATCTGTCTATCTATCCATCTGTCTATGGCAGAAGGGGGTTGGACTGCATGGCCTTCTTTGGGGCCCCTTCAAAGACTTAGAGGCTGGGTGGCCATCTGTCGGGAGGGCTTGGATGGTGCCTTCCTGCCTGGCAGAAGGGGGTGGGAGTGTGCCTGGCCCTCTTTGGGATCTCTTCCAGTTCTAGGCTTCGGTGGAAATACTTCTTTGGGCATCTCTAGTAGTTGTCGTTGTCGCCCGTAGTACTGTTTCCTCTACTTCCCGCCTGTCTTTCTTTGGAGGTATTATTATTATTATTATTGTTATTATTATGATAATGCTGCTTACTTCAGGAGTTTGACATTCCAGTCGTAGAGGCTGTCGTTGACGAGTTCCACCGCATAGTTTCCTGCGGGGCGACACGGAGGAGGGGTCAGCGCCACCCAAGGGCCCCCCCTCACCCCCCCTCCAGCCCCTTCCCCCCAAGACTGGGCACCCGGGCACTGACCGCCTTTGAAGCTGGCCGATCGGTAAATATCCCTGAGCTCCTTCATCAGCCGGTCAGTGGCCTGCACAGACCCAGACACTGCCCCCTGAGACAGGGAGAGAGAGGGAGAGAGAGGGGGGGGGGCGGTCAGATTGATTCTTCAATTTGGGATCTGTAGTTGCTGGGATTTATAGTTCACCTCCAATCAAAGAGCATTCTGAACTCCACCAACGATGGAATTGAACCATACTTGGCACACAGAACTCCCATGACCAACAGAAAATACTGGAAGGGTTTGGTGGGCACTGACCTTGAGTTTGGGAGTTGCAGTTCACCTAAATCCAGAAGCACTGTGGACTCAAACAATGATGGATCTGGACCAAACTTGGCATGATACTCAATATGCCCAAATGGGAAAACTGGCGGAGTTTGGGGAAAATAGACCTTGACATTTGGGAGTTGCACTTGCTGGGATTTATAGTTCACCTACATTCAAAGAGCATTTTGAACCTCACCAAGAATAGAATTGGGCCAGACTCGGCACACAGAACTCCTACAACCAATACTGGAAGGCTTTGGTGGGCATTGACCTTGAGTTTGGGAGTTGTAGTTCACCTAAATACAGAGTGCAAACAATGGACTCAAACAAGGATGGATCTGGACCAAACTTGGCACACATACTCAATATGCCCAAATGGGAACACTGGTTGTGTGTGTGTGTGTGTGTGTGTGTGTGGGGGGGGGGGGGGGGGGTTGATTTTGTCATTTGGGAGTTGTAGTTTCTGGGATTTATAGTTCACCTACAACCAAAAGAGTATTCTGAACCCTACAAACGATAGATTGGGCCAAACTTCCCACACAGGACCCCCTATGCCTTGAAGGGACTCCCTTTCGGCCTCGCACATGCTCCCTCACCCGCCCGCTCTCCCTTCCCCACTCAGAGACTCAAAAAGAGCCCTCCCCTTGGATGAGAGGCCTATCAATCACAGCAGAGGAGGGCTTTGGGTGGGAGGACCATCAGAAATGTGTGTTTTCCGAAACCCCAGATTGAGAAACGCTCTTCTAGCAGAAGACCCCTGTCCCCCCTTTCCTCCCTCCCTCCTGGCGACACGTACATTTAAGTAATCTTGCCTCTGGTTCTTTTTGATTTTCTCGAGGATGGCCAGGTTCTCCTTCCCGATGCCGTCGTCCTCGGCCTTCTTGGCCTCGGCCGGCTCCTCCTCCTTCATCTCGTAATGGTCCAGCTCCTCCGTGTCCTTCGGGAGGAAAAGCAGAGCGTCCCATCATTCGCCCGCGCCGGGACTCGTTTCGGACCGCCACCCCCAGCGAGGCCGCCACTGCCCGGGATTTCGGCCTCCTGGCTCCCCGGGGAGCGTACCTCGGGCATTTCCTCGTCTTCTTCCTCCGAGGAGACCTCCTCCTGGGTGCTCTGCGGGACGGAAAGGCAAGCGTGAAGCCCAGGTGACGGAAGAGGAGGAGAGGCCTTGGCAGGACTCCATATTAATAGACTCCTCCTCAGGCCAGAGAAACTACTCCAAATCCCACCGGTAACTGGACTGATATGCAAAGTCCCTCTATGCTGAGTACATGAAGGTTGTGGAGTACACCAACTATGTTACTTTAAATAATAATAATAAAAACTTTATTTATATTCTGCCCTATCTCCCCAAAGGGACTCAGGGCAGATTCCAAACATAAAAGGAAAACATTCAACACCCGAATACCTATTTTAACCAAGTCTATGTTATGTTTGGTCTCTTGAGAACATGATTGAAACCAAGGGAGAGTCGCTGACTTTTGGGAAACGGAAAACAAGACTTCTGAAACTCGTGCTATTTATTTATTTTATTTACGACATGTATATCCCACCCTCTTTCACCCTGAAGGGGACTCGGAGCACCTTACTAGTAATATGTAAATACAATATATTATATTATTAACATAGCGCAATATTAGTATTATATATTACTATATTGTACTAGACCATTATACTGTAATAGTATTAGTAATGCTACATTTAATATAAAATATATAATTATATTATCTTATAATAATATTAGTAGTAGTAGTAGTAGTTGTAGTTTTAGTATGAGTACTATATTGCATCACATTATATCATCAATATTATATGTATACACAATATATTATAATAAGGTTGTGAGTAAACCAACTATGTTATTTCAACAACCGCTTAGAGTCGCCTTGGCTGATATAGGCGGTATACAAAAGGAGTTAATAAATAAATAATAAATAAACAAAGACTTATTTATGTTTGGTCTCTTGAGAACACGATTGAAACCAAGGGAGAGTAGGTGTCTTTTGATCAACTGAAAACAACACTTCTGAAACTCTGCATTGGCATGTCTTTGTCCCTGATAGTTCAAAGAGATATCTAGGTATATCAGTCTAACAACTGAAAAACCTAATTGCCATGCATGAATACTAGTGGATATATTTACCACTAAGGAGAAGGTTGACTCAAATGAGTTTGATGATCACACAGAAGGTTATGATCTCTATCAAGGTTATGCTTTTCCAAAACTTTGGCCCTCAAAGCCCCCCCCCCCCAGTCCGGCGCGCCTCCTCACCTGCTCCGCCGGCAGCGGCTGGTCCAGCATCTCGAGGTCCGGGTGCTGCGGGAGGTTGTAGAGCTTGCAGAGGTCCGAAATGATGCGCTTGAGGTGCTGCAGGAGCTGAGCGAGGAGGGGGAAGCAGGCAGGACAGGTAAGGCAAAGAAAGGGTGGTCAGGAGCACCCCCCCAACTCAACTCATGTGTCAGGTATGGTTGGAATGGAACTGTGCTAAAGGTTGGGGTCTATATAGCGTAGAGGTGCCATGAAAAACTACAAAAGGGAAATTCATGAACTGTCATGTAAAGTCTAGGTGGGAAACAACATGTTTACATTACAAGAGACAATAGCTCTTTAAGAACGGCTGACGTTAATGAGGAAACTCTTGGTGGAAAACAACATGTTTACATTGCAAGAGACAATGGAAGTGTTTACAAGGCCCCTTACTTAAGAAAAAAAAATAAGTATCACTCGGAGAATGAAAGTCAACATCTGTCCGGGAACTGGACGCTAGAAAACACCCGTCGTTCATTTACAACTTCTGGGAACAATATCCGCAGAAAGAGACTATGTGAGTGACCCTCTCTATCCAATCCGTCATCGATCCACTCCTTGGTGCATCTCTATGCAGACGACGCACAACCCTTTCTCCCTTATTGTCCCACCACACCTCCTTCTTCCACATCCTCACCAGGGTGTTGCCCTTCTTGACGTCGGCCAGCCTCTCCAAGATGGCGGCCAGGTTGGGGTCATCCGACTCCACTGACCAGATGGGGGGCACCGCCGGGTAAGACTCCTGCCGGAGGAAAGGCAACGTTTACATCTATGCTTGTCTGTATGCTGTATATTATTATTAATCATAATAATATATGCTGATGATACTGTCAAAAGCCTTGATTAGCACTGAATGGTCTTATAGCTCTGAAGCTTGGCTGCCTGCTGGATGAAGAGATCCTTTGTTGGAAGGTGTTAATCACATTCACAACTGCCTCTTTCTTTCTCCCACCCTGGACATAATTCCACATCATCCATTCAGATATACATATATACACACATACAAAGACCCCACTGGCCTAGTTTTCATGTCTCAGGCCCCGCCCACCACCTCTTGCCTGGCCAAGTCCCTATTGGCCCAGGAACACCCAAGCCCCACCCCTCCTCGAACGGGCCAGACTCTTCTGAGGAAACCCTGCCCCCTTGCCTCAGGCCACGCCCCCTTCAAGTATTTGGGAACCCTCACTTAAGCCCCGCCTCTCACTTTAGGCCCCTCCCAGCAGGTCTTCCTGGGCCAAGTCCCTATTGGCTCACGAACACCCCAAGCCCCGCCCTTCGCCTATTTGAGAACCCTCAGAGTAAGCCCCGCCCCTCACTATAGGCCCCTCCCAGCACTCTTCCTATTGGCCCAACAAACCCCAAGCCCCGCCCCCTTGGCTCAAGCCCCGCCCCTCCTCCACACATTTAAGGGTTAAAAATGCTCTAAGGGTGCTCTCAGAGTAAGCCCCGCCTCTCGCTTTAGGCCCCTCCCAGCAGCTCTTCCCACGCCAAGTCTCTATTGGCCCACAAACACGCCAATCTCCGCCCCCTTACCTCAGGCTCCGCCCCTCCTTCAAGCAGTTTGGGGTCCAAAACGCCCCATGAAAGCCCCGCCCCCCGCTTTAGGCCCCTCCCACCAGCTCTTCCTATTCGACCAACACCCCAAGCCCCGCCCCTTTGCCTCAAGCCCCGCCCTTCCTTCAAGCATTTGGGGGTTCAAAATGCTCCAAGAGAGCCATCAGAGTAAGCCCCGCCCCTTGATTGAGGCCCCTCCCACCAGTTCTTCTTATTAGCCTAACATCACCACAAGCCCCGCCAACCCTCAGAGTAAGCCCCGCCCCTCGCTTTAGGCCCCTCCCACCATCTCTTCCTATTGGCCCAACACCCCCCCAAGCCCCACCCCCTTGCCTCAAGCCCCGCCCCTCCAAGCATTTTCAGGGATCAGAACGCTTCCTACGAACCATCAGAGTAAGCCCCGCCCCTTGCTTGAGGCCCCTCCCACCAGGTCTTCCTATTAGCCTAACAACACCCCAAGCCCCGCCCTCGGCCGCCAAGCCCCGCCCCTCCTCGAGGTGGCCCGAGATCCTTGAGGAAGCCCCGCCCCTCCAAGCATTTTCGGGGATCAGAACGCTTCGTAAGAGCCATCAGAGTAAGCCCCGCCCCTTGATTGAGGCCCCTCCCACTAGTTCTTATTAGCCTAACATCACCACAAGCCCCGCCCCTCGCTTTAGGCCCCTCCCATCAGCTCTTCCTATTAGCCCAACACCACCACAAGCCCCGCCCCCTTGACTCAAGCCCCGCCCCTCCTCCAATTATTTTCGGGGTCCAGAACGCTCCATTAAAATCTTCAGAGTAAGCCCCGCCCCTCGCTTTAGGCCCCTCCCACCACCTCTTCCTATTAGCTCTAGACCACCACAAGCCACGCCCTCTTGCATCAGGCCCCGCCCTCGCTGGAGGCCCCTCCCACCAGTTCTTCTTATTAGCCTAACACCACCACATGAAAGCCCTGAGTTAGCCCCACCCCTCGCTTTAAGCCACTCCCACCATCTCTTCCTACTGGCCCAAGACCACCCCAGGCCCCACCCGTTTGCTTTAAGCCCCGCCCCCCGCTTTAGGCCCCTCCCACCAACTCTTCCTATTGGCCCAAGACCACCTCAAGCCCCTCCCTCTTGCCTCAGGCCCCGCCCCCGCTGGAGGCCCCGCCCGCGTTGTGCTCACCGTGATGTTTCCGTGGATGCGCACGACCGGGGGGGGCCCGCTTCCGGTCCCGGGGAGGAACTCGCAGCCGAGCTCGTCGGGGCAGGCGCGGGCGATGCGGAAGCGCTCGTGCCCGCGGTGGAAGATGGACTCGAGCAGGCGCAGCTCCCGCCTCAGCAGCGCCCGTCCCCCTCCAGCTCCGCCTCCTCCTCCTCCTCCTCCGTGGGCTCCGCGGGGCATCTTCCCATGGGCCGGCCTAGCGTGGCCCTGCGGGGGGCCCTTCCCGGCGCGTGGGCCCGCTCGGCAAGATGGCGGCGGACGGGAAGGCCCCCTGGCTGATCCTGCTGCCGCCGCCGCCGCCGCCGAGGCCGGAAGTGACGCCCCGCACCCGGCCCCGCCCCCCATGCCCCCCGCCCCCAAGCAGGAAGGGGAGGAGCCCCGAGGAGGCTGCCCGCACGCCGTCGCCCTGGAGACCGCCACTTCCGCCCCGGACCGGAAATACACTC